TCATTTCAAATCTCCTGAGTGGCAAGGCCTTGTATTGAAAATGTTTGGCTTCTGGGAGAATAAAAAATATGAGAAGTATAGGGTAAATTATTGAGTGCATTCTTTAATATATCAGAAATATTTTTCTGAGCATCTAGAGACATACAGACTCTCATTCTAGAAATTAATTGTGCACTGCCTCCATAAATACAGGATTAAAATAGTGGGTTCAAAATGAATTAATCTGCTCCCCCTACCTGTCAACAGAGAATCATCACTTCCAACACTTCTCATGATTAATATTCTATAAGAAATGTTAACAGTACTTCAAAGGGCCACATTCCCTTACTCAAAGATGCAGTAATAGGGGCAAATTTAATCCTATTGTAAGCAGGGAAATTGCATCAACACTGAATTATCTTCAGTGTCTGTCTAGTAGGGGATATTACATACATTCTAGTCTGCAACACAAGAATTGGCTCATTGTCTGCCTAGACCCAAATACAGAACATAGATTTCCTAAACAGTTTACAAAGTACGAAAATGAGAGCTTTATAGTAAGATACCATAATGGGCAATGCTGAAATACTATGCGGCCTATATTTTGTCACATAAACGTACTTTGTCAGTATATGATGAGGTGAATTTAAGTGCCTAAAATCATATATATAAAACCAGATTTTTTTTCATTTTATTTTTTTTATACTAAAGCTTTGCAAACAGAAAAACAAAATTTGTAGAAAAACAAAATTTGAGATGTGCTGAACTGAAATGTATAACTTGAATTTTTGTCAAAAATAAAAACACTGTTTGTAGGCAGAAAAGAATATGTACCTACAAAACAGCTGTTTCTCATTTTTGCAAAAATAATGATCTTTTATGCCCAGTGCAAAACCATGAAAACTCATTTTTTTCCCCAACTGTGACATTACCTAAAATTTCACTGTGATATGCTACCACACATTTATTAACAGAAGTAAAGAAACCTTTGTCTACATAAAATTCACAAATAATCACAAAAAGAATAGAAAATATGACCCCTAAGGGAAAATTGATATAGTAGCTGTCTTGAAAAATACTAAATTAGGCTCATTGAATATCCAATTGTGGGGTTTTTTTTTCTTTTTTTAAAGAAAACAAAGACCTTGAGTTTTGCTGTTAACAATCCACCATGCTCAATTTTTTACTTCCCTCCCTTGTAACACATTGTGATACCTACCACATAGCATTTCTATTCACTGAAACAAAACCACTAAAGTAAGACTGGAACTTGGAGACTGACTTAACTATTATCAGTTAAATATGGCCTCTGCCAGAAATACAACATATTAACAAAGTGATTACTAGAAGTTTACATTCTGATGTTCTTAGATAAACAAAATTATTCAATTCCCAGGACTGCAAACATTTAAATGATTCCCCTACTGAAAGTCAATGTTTACATTTCCTAAAATACTAGAGCATATTAGCTTCCTGCATGCAATTTTCTCACCCTGAGATCTAGATAGCATACAAGAATATACCACCAATTTTTTAATCCTGCTTGTAGAAGAAGAGTCTCATACTGCTAGAAGATTTGCAGGATTGCTTTAATTATGTATTTTTTATTTCTTTGACTGACAGACTCGCATTCATTAGCTGCTTCTTCCTGCTTTTGTATCCCCATTATTCCCATTTAACTGTGAAATATCTCCATAGATAAGTGCTTTTTCAAGTGACTGAAGTTAGCACTTACCTGCTGGATACCGTATGTCCAGCCTTGCCTTATACGGTCCCTTGCCCACACATTGTGAGCATTCTCTGCTAGTTTATCCACCATAGCTTCTTGAGAGGGGGTCAGTTTGATAAAACTCAGATCCATGGGAGCAGGCTTATATCCACTCAACAACTGGTAGCTGTCAAAAAACACAGAACCTGCAGTTACTTTTCAGTAAGAAAAAATTAATAGAAACCACAAAGGAAAGAAGGGACATGTATGCAAGGTATCTATATAAATAATCTGTCTTTGAGCATAAAAAATAATAATGCCCTGACATTTGATTTTGTTTCAAGCTAATTGCATCTCGATGGGATGAAGATGCTGGTAACGAAAGCTACCCAAAATATTCTGAACTAAAAATGGTTTTAAAGTATTTTAGTACTTTCAAATATTTAAAGTTGTAGATTAAGATGTTGCTTATCTAAATACTTATATGAACACTATTATTGTTACCTCTGAGCACTTCTTAAATTCTATCTATCTCCTATTGATGCAAGAAAATATATTCTTCCTATTACATATGGGGATGTGAGAGACAGAGCAGGTCAAATGATGAACTCAAGATCACATATGAATTCCAACTAATAAAAGTTTGTCTTTGTAATACTTCATAGCTTAACTATTCTTCAAATCATAGGAGCAATTGTTTAAAATTTAAGCATGCCTTCAGAACAGAGAGACAGCTTCCTCACTATTTTTAGCACTCCTAAGAACAAAGTGTTGTTTACTTTTATGAATTTGTTCCCATAAAATTAATTATAGTCATTTCCCACTTTACTTATGACCAAACCTTCTTCAATAAAGGACATGATGCGTATGGTGATGGATGTAGCACATGAGGACTTACTAAATTTAAAAGGAAAACCTACGACACTGTGCAGCACCACCATGGTTGTGGACTTTGCCTCCCTCCCTCAGGTGAGGAGGGAACGTGCAGAAGAAGGGGAGCAGGAAGAGAAAAGCCGGGGGGGGGTGGGCAGACAGGGGCTGTACTGGGTGTCCATGCCCAGGTGCCAGTCGGGGAGCTCCAGCGCTGCCTCTGTGAGGAGAGACGGGCGCTGTCCCGTGCCAGGCACAGCCGGACCCAGCCGGCTCCAAAAGGTACCCACTGCTGGCCTAAGCTGAGCCCTGCAGCCATGCTGGTGGCTCCTCTGGGAAAACATTTTTAAGAAGGGGCAAAACACTGCACAAGCAAGAGGAATGAGGAAAAAAAAGTGTGGAAAAACAGCCTGGCAGACACCAAGGCTGGGGGACATGCTGCAGGTGCCAGAGCTGGTGCTTTCCTGCGGCCCCGGGAGCAACCAGGCCGGGGCTGGTGGATGTGCCCTGAATATCCCCAGGTATTTCTCCTCCAGCACACTGACAGAGCAAAGCACTACTTTGGTCATAACAAAAGGCGTCTGTGGAAAATACACAACAACATTCTCTCGCTGAAATGATACACGGTGGGGTGTTTAAAGAATGGCTAGTTTAAATAATTGTCTAATTATTTTCTAAATAACTTTGGCACTTTCTTGTATTTTCTTTATTTGGACTGACAGAAAGAAATCCAGAAAAAGAAACAGTATTTATCCCCATTTATATTCTAAAATATTCAAATAGTTTACAAATCTTAATTAATTCTCTTCTGTGATAACTATTCTAAAACCCATTTAAACAAATTACTGGTTGAAAACAATAATTGAAAACAAGCAAGTATTTAAGGGGGATTATCCTCTACAAACACGAGGTTGGACCTTCCTTCAAAATTACCACATTAAAAAAAAAAAAAAAGAAGTTTAAGTCTGAAAACAACAATTCAGGAACGTCAATACAAAATCAACCATTCACATAGTTACCAATCAGCAAATTTCAATGACAGAATTACGCAAGCAGTTGGCAGTTGTGCTATCTCCCACACGCTAGCTAACTGCCCTCGCGGTTACCTCTCCTCATGTAGCTGTGAAGTCGCTTCAGTGAGATGAGTAAAACCAGGCAGTAATGGAAATAGGAAATCATACAGAATTAACATGTTTGTCAGGCTGGCAATTACCACGTTCTTTCCTGTCACACTCCCCTGTACAAGTTTTACGTTGTGCATATGAAAGGTATGATATCCACAGCTATTTCAATATAAGACCAGGGTCTAAGAACCAGGGGTCAAAAGATGCTCATAATTTTGTCACAGAGGATATGTATATCTTATTTCAGGATGTAAATAAATACTCATCAAGGATAAGTATCAATGGATACTAAGGAAAATAAGGAAAACATATTATGTACACAAATTCATGTTGGACAATTGTCTTTAGTTGCAGACTGATGTTACTAGTTGAAACAGGTAGCTAAAAATCCCAGCTTCCACCTGGTCATCTGCTCTTCAGTATCTTACTGGTTTTACCTTGGTCAGTATCTCTGCTGGCCTTATATTGACTTTTTTTTTTTTTTTTAAGAAGTAGGTAAATTTAACTGCTTCAACAGCACATTATCATTACCATATTGATCTGCTATTGATTTATAATAAGCATTTTGGAATTTTTATTTGTGCCACCACCTAAAGTTACAGAAAGAGTGGTAGATACGTTTTGAAGTGATCTTAGTTCATACTCTGCTCTCTTGATTAAAGATTTTCAGCAGTCTACATAAGTTGTTTTACAAGAAAAAATGAAACACAGAGAAATTTGGAAAAAAAAAAACCCACACTTTTTTCTTTTCATTCTAACAGTTCTTTTTCATTTTCCATTTCATTTAGACTTTTTTTTAACCTATAGAAACACTAAATTTTTAGAATTTATTAAAATAAAGACTTTGAATATTTCAGGGAGGTATTTTAAAATAAAAGGTTATTGAAGGATGTTTGATTAAAAAAACTAAAGTTGTAACAGGAAAAAACTTCCTAATAGAAAGAGAATTTCCATCAGAGAAAGTTATGTTTGCAGGACACTTTAGCTAGCTGTTCAAAATGGTCAAAAAAGCTCTTTTGTGGAGTGACGCTGTATTAGAAAAGGCAAATTTCTGGCACAACTCTCAGTTAAAAATGTGATTTTCCCCAACTTGTAACCAGTGTGGCTGTGACGCAAAAATTCTTTAGGACTGACACAAATATAAACCTTTTCTTAGCATTTTACAGTCTTCATTGTTACAACACGATAGCAGAAAAGAAAAAAAAAAAGCAAAGCGTTTAGAAGACAGACAAGAATATACAAAGTAAGGTTGACAAATTTCTTAGCAAGTAGAGCCAATGAGCTAATTACATTCAAGTGATGTCTGTTGCTTTTGTTTTTCATAATAGTATCAAGTTTTTGTGTTCAGCAGATATGAGAACTTCATAAATTATCACAGGAAAATTGTCAAAGTGTTGGGATAACTCATTTGCATCATCTACTTGAACAGAAGTAACTAGCAAACACAGGAAATGACATACATTCTCTCCTGAAAAACTTAGCCTTTCACACACCATCTCCTGTAACCTTTTGTTATGATTAAGTGTAGTCTAACTGTGAAACGGCAACCCTCCCTCTCTCCAGGACTGTATCCCACAAAAAATGTGATTCAGCCTTATAGCTGCACAACTGTATCTAGATCATGAAATCTTTGCTCCATTTTTGCTCAACAAACATCCGATGCTATTGAAAGTGTAGCCACAATTTTTTTTCTTTCCTTTTTACTCATTTTTTCCATCTATTTTATGTGAGGTATCAAAATTCTGACTTGGTATGTATGGTAGGACCTCAGGTTTCTAAAGTTATGACTGTTAATGACATTAAGAAGACTCAGTATTATTGCTTGTCTTCAATCAGGAAGTATAATTTCTTCAGACTTGAGATTTAGCTGCAGTTTTTCAAAAGCATCAAATCTAATTCACTTCAACAATCTTGCAAATGAAAATACATTTCCGCCCAGGAAATTCAGAACAAAAATACAGAAGGCCCTAGATATCTCTTCTTTTTAGTTTTATATGCAGATATTTGGGATACCAAAACTGAAGAACAGTTTCGGGGAATTTAAACTAATCCCTCCCTTTTATATTCATTCATTCTTCTGAAGTGACCACATCAGGGATTCTGAAACTGTAATATCAATGGTATGTAAATCAGTGCAGTGTGGTATATATCAAAGACCTCAGGGACCAGATTCTTATAGCTACCTTGTAGTAAAGTATTACCCAGAAGCCTGCAGGAACCATGCCAGAATGGGGCATGTGCTTTAAGCTCACAAAAGGAAAAGGGAAGGCATGCTTGAGTTAAACATGGGCTTGGGGTTATTATACTGGCCTTAGGGATGCAGTGTGCGGAATCTGAAGGTATGGGTCAATGAAAGCCCACTGCGAATAATGGAGATAGGCAATAGCAGAGGAACATCTATTTCTGCACAGAGCACATCCCTGCAAAGAGCTCTGAGTTGCTACTGGTGGCAGCAACTTAGCAACTAGCACTTACCATTGCTCTTAGTCATAACCAAGGAAACGAAATTGCTAATTTAAATTCAGGAATAACAGAAGACGTGGAAGTTGTCTTATACAGAAACTGTGATCTTTACCTTTCTGGTTTTATACACGTTATAATCCTCCTTTGTCCCACTGAATTTTATACCACTCTAGTCAAACTTATAAACCAGGGGCTCAAATGTGTTTTGGGTTGTAGGGCTGTCATATGCTTATCACAAAGTACAGTTCCATCACTTTCAATTGTGTTAAAGTTCCCAAATTCTTCATTCCCAAACCGGGGTGCTGAGGAAGAAGCCAGGGCACCTCGGCTGGGCCATGAGAGCTGGTTTCAGAGCTGCAGCAATCAAAGCCATTATACCATACCAGCCTGAGCCCAGCCCTACCAATGCTGTTGCCAATCAGTCACTCAGGAAAAGGTCAGGTGGCTATACCAGTTCTCTCTGCTTCAAGTCACTAGATGGCCAGTCTAGGACTTTCAAAAGGGTTGCCTTTAAGTATCTGTAGCACAGCAAAACATATTGATAAGTTTGCTGTAAAAATTCTATATCAAGTTTCTGCAGTACGTTCCATATATAAAAAAAATACGTAACAATGAATGCCAGACATTGAAATGAATCACAGAAAATCTAAACTTTTTTTACACATCAGATCATAAACATCTAAAAGAAAAGATGTGGATGAAGGTGTGTGTAAATTTCTGAAAATTTATATGCATACATGCATACCCAAGTACCAATAAAATTAGCAATGTAAATATCAAATTGTTAAATACAGTTCACTTAACTGCTCAACAAAAAGATGCATTTGAATTTCAACTTACTTCTTTGGAAGTTTCATTTTTTTCACTTTTTCTTCAGCATGTTCATCAGCAATTCCAACATGGCAGCCTAACGCCAGCAGGGTTCTAGGACACAGAAATCAGAGATAAATTACTGCCAATGTTTCTATATTCAGAGTTGCTGTTGTGTATATAAAGGGCACTGTACAACAAATGAGACCTATGGAATAACAATATAATATGGAAAGATCAACACTAGCCTTTTTGTATATGTAATAGGCTTTTGATAGTGTTAAGAAAATGCCACAAGATGTTCCTAAAAATTTTAGTAAAAATATGAGTGGACTACTTCAAAATGGAACATTCATGCAGTCTATTTCATCTATATGAGGCATTAGTTGAAAGATTCCCTGCCCTTGAAATAAATATTTCTTCTTCATATACTTATTCACACTGCGTATATACTCATTCATACTGCTTTATATCAAAATCTTTTTATGTTATGTTATTTACTTCAAAGCCTATGAAAGGAGAAAAGGCAGGAAATGTCATTTGTTATCCTTAGAATGTGTCTTCTTTACAAAGAGAGGCTGTTATTCAGAGATTTTAATTGGATCTGGATTTTGTTAGGACATGCTATTGAAGAGAGGACTGACAGCAGAATGCATGACAAGCATTAGGCCAAAACTGCCATCTTAATTCTCAGGATGCATGTTGCACGTTACTCCACCTCAGAGAAAAGGCTCCAAGCTAGCCACAGTGCGTCAGATACCACAAGGCTTCTACTGAAGAAGCCACTGACCCAGGCAGCCAATTCTGGCCTGATTCTGCAAGATGTAGCTCATCTCGGAGAACAAACAATCTCTACATAACCTTACAACAGAGGTGACAGTATTTATCAGGTTTCTAATTACTTCAGACCTCTTCCTTTCCTTACAGTCATAGTATCCAGCAGTATAAATCTTAAGTCCCATTCATCTCCAGGACTTGATCTGTAACATCAATTTTTTTTTCATGCATTTATGTTCAATACTAGGTTATCAAGTCTTAGTTTCTTTAGCCGAGGTGTATTACTAAAATATTGACATTGAAATGAAAAGAAATCCTTGACAGAAGTCAGAACTGACTTTGGAGTCAGATCAGAAGTTTCTCAAAATCTGAGGGTAACACCCGTATCTTTGAAACTGATATGCAGAAGAAATCGCAACTGTAAACCTTGGACTCCATTCCCAATTTTTCCCAATGTGGAAGAAAGCTGGAAAACAAGGTTTTCATTTGTTCTTGCCGCTAGTTAAAACAATATTTTCTGGTCCTGCTTCAACTATATTTACAGCTCTGGAACTGACTGGGCAAAAAAAAGAGCATTAATATTGCTCTAGCAGTATTTCTCTTGGCAGATGAATCATATGTTTCAAGAAGATTCTTACAGCATATTTTTAGTGCTAGCTGCATGAAATAAATCCTACTGTTACGGTCTGTGAACCCTGATTTAAAATTAGACAGTAAAATCAGATACGAGGAAATCAACATGCAAAGGCCAGCTCCTGCAAAACACACTATCTCCTAAGCATACTCCATGCAGCAAAATTCCAATTGGCATAAATCATACATGATTCCTATGCAGCTATCACCAGCATAAGTAAGAGAACATATCTAACAGTGGAAAGCAGTAAAGAGGAGCTCATCCCTGGTAACCCTAATTTTCTTGTAATGTAAGACAGGAATTTGAATTCTACATTATCTCCAACCAGCCACAGCAAATCCAAATCAGAGAGTCACAGCAGGATAACAAGGCGTACCATACTGGTAGAACCTGAAAGACCCCTAAAGCACTTCAAAGCTAAACAAGAAAACTAGAAGTGGCTGAATGCAGCCCTCAGCATAATATTGATACATGTAATTATCACACACAACTGAGTAAATAGGTAGAAACAGGAAAGTCAGGCACAAAATAGTAAGCATCAAAAACCCCACAAGATCAAACTATAAAACATATATAAGAATGTGCAGAAACAGTATGAGCAAGCATATTTTAATCCCATGACATTTTCAGAGGTAACTCATTCCTGAATCTTGAAATTTCATATAGTGTATCATTTTTATAGTTCATAAAAGTACTCAATCATACTGAAAAATATACAGAGATCCCCATATATTGAAAAGAAATGTTGTGTCAGATAACATGACTCAGAACTTCCTTGTTTTCTGCCTCTCTCATCTAGTAGAGCTGGCAGCAAAACTGGCAACAAACCAACAAAAAAAAACCCCTATTACAGTAAGAGTTATTCTTGATGTCTTGCAACTACTTCAAGTATGCAGTACACAGTTTGATGCAAATTGTAAAGAATATAGCATATAGCTGACTACAGGAAGTTTTCAAAGAACATTTTCTTTCCCCCTCCCCCATTCTCCGCCACTGAGGTTGACTGCTAGTAGACTAGAAACACCTAGTAAAGAAATAGTCAAAGCAGCTTACAATTGAAGTCATCCCAATATGGATCATCTAGAATGGATTAGTGCACTAATTTTTCCACCTTTGCAAGCTTGCAGAAACGAACCGAGCAAGACACACCTGTTCTAGTCCCTAAACAATAAATGTCTACGTGATAAATACAACCTGATACTGCAAAATTAGAATATTTCTGTATACTTCAGAAAACAAGGACTAATACAAGAATGAAATGAAGACCTGAGCTCAGTAAGCATACAAATTTTGAAGTCCATAGAAAGACTGAATGATTTATGTTTTGGACACTATCCATTGAATGAAAAGGCTCTCTCTAAAGTGAAATTACTAAAATAAAAGTAATCCATAATTTATATGTTTATAAAACCAAATTATGTTTGTTTTGTCAGGGTTAGATTTAGAAAAGCATTGGGTCCTGAACCAGTAATCATGTAAGGACTACTAAATTTTGTTTAATATTTAGTGAAACATTAGCGTGTGTGTTTAATTCTGAGAGCATGATTTTTATGATGCCCGAGTCATATTATATAGATTATTCTAGCGAAAGATCCAACTGTAGGGAA